TGAGCTCAGTGTTCATAGTACCTCTAGTTTACTACATTTTAAATAGTTTACTACATTGTAAATAAATGTTTTGTCTTTTGTTGATTCATACACAAATATTTACATGTAAGGGATGTCTTCACATTTCATCTTTTCTGGTTCAGTGGTCCTAGATAAGATTATTTTAAATGACTCTAACAAATTCTCACTTTAAAAATATCTTCCCTTAAAAGGGCATGGCTCTTCATTTGAAGAAATTTTAATTCCCTTCATACAAATGGAGTCTTTATAACTCCATTTAAACAAAAAAGAATTCTGAAAAAAAAATCACCATGTTCTGTAAATGACATTTTCAGTTAAAAATAAGTTTTGTTCTTAATTAAGGAAAAAATGGACTTAAGTTATTACCTGATCAAGGATAAAATTTAAAATTAATGAATACACAAAAAGTAAGTATGGTTTTCAGCTGTCAATTATTTAGAGAAATAAAATAAACATTTTTATTAAAGAAACGGCAAACAATCTGTTTTAGCAAATCTGGTTCACAGAGAATGATACCAAGCTAGAGATTTCGAAAGAGATGTACAGTCAATTCTCTGGAGAAAGCTTCTGGTAGAGTTATCCTTCTTGGCATCTTGTTTCAGTAAATAAGTAACAGCCAACCAAACAACTGAATCCTTTATCATCTCCAGTGGTGGAAATTCATTATGGTTCAGCCAATCTGGGAATAAAATACACATCTGTACAATATCTGCAGCCACTTTAGGTGTTGGTCTAAGATTAGGATCCCTCTTCAGCAACTGCTTTGTCAATTTCGCTATTGGTTTTGGTACTGCCATTGGAAGGGGTGGTAAGCTTTTTTCTTCATATGAACTACTATTAAAAGGGCCTTTGTAAAAAGGATTTTCCTCTCCAAATATCTCATATACTAAAGTTCCAGCAGTCCAAATATCTGACTTTCTGTAGTCAAGCCAAGCATTTCGTCCAGGTTCCATTACTGCAATCTCGGGAGACATTAATGCAGCATTCCCTCCTTTGTCGGTGTCACTGGTGTTGTATGGAATCATTAGTCCATAATCTGGTTCAGCTAAACAACAACCAAAGTCACTAATCACCAACTGTGGATGGCCACTGGAGACATCTACCAAAATATTATCACTTTTCAAGTCTCTATGTGCTATGCCATTTTCTGTCATGTGAGCAATTCCTTCCAACAACTGGGCTAGCAAAGAGCATCTAGTATTCAAGTTGACATCATTTTCTGAAAGAAAGCTCTTCAAAGTCATGTCATATTTCTTCATCACCAAAAAAAGAGTTTTGTTTCTACCAAGACCACTGTCTGGGTTAAGCCTGGTTGGAAGGGCAGCAGGGTACCTAAGATCATCACTCTTAATCTTTGGAACGTCGTCAATGAAGATGCCTTGCATTTCCACAATATTTGGGTGAGGAGGAAGACTTTTAAGTTTCACTTGATTTCTGGTCAGCCAAATAGATTCTTCCTCCAGTTGTGGAGTAAACCTTGCAGGGGTTATTTCCTTCATCATGCCCCTAAATATTACATCAGCATTGGATTCAAAATCATAATTGAACATCATTTTGATAGCCAGATCATATTTTAACTCTTTTGGAAGTGGTGTCTCATAGGATTCTTCAATAGTAGTAGTAGTAGAAATATCTGGATTGTTTCCCTCCGAACAAAAATCAGGACTTCCAGGTATAATTTCAATGTCATCATCAGACTCATCTATGACTTCAAAACTTGATTCTGAATCTGTTAACTCATCTGTTGAAAAGGACGACTCTTCATTTGGTACGTAGCTTCTTATCTGTTCATTGAAATCATTCTGAAATCTTGCTTCATACACGGCAGAATTGCAGCCTTGCCCAATCAACTGTCCTATTTGGAAATCTTTGAATGCTGCAGTAGAAAAATTATTCTCTTCTTGGGAAGGTGGATTTATTTTCATGGAGATTATGTTTCTAATAGAGTTTGTTACTTCGTCATCTTCTTGGGCAGCAGCAGTTGACAGCATAGCAGCCACAAAGGAAAAGATGGGTCGGCGATTCCTTGAAAAGTCTATTGCTGTATAATTGAGAGAAAAAAAGATCATTAAGTCCAACATCTAGTACAAGAAAATTTTAATTGGTGTATATTTATTATACCTAGGTACTAAGTAGATAACACAGCGGTAAAGGTTCAAATGTAAAACATGTCTATGGTGATTACTACATGTACTAATAAAGTTGAACATCAAATAGCAAAAGGTTTTTTTTTTTATTGGTTAATATATTTTCATGTTAAATACTGAAATCTGATTGCACTATTTTACTATTAGAGTAAAACAAAAGAAAAGTTAAAATGTAAAGCACCTGCACGATTTCGGAGTTCACGTGCGACAGTTGCAACAGCATACCGACTCGCAAATCTTCTGATCGCCGATGGTTGTTTTGCTACAGGTACGAAGGCATTTTTGTTGATTTCGATGGATTTTTGCAAGATCTTTCCCCCGTGTTCGAACCCTTTGACTTTCCGCTTCAAAATATTTTCCAAGAAGAGTCTTCCTTTGATTAACCATTTTTTCACTAAAAAGTTATTGTTTAATAAACCACTTCCAGGGTCTGCGAGGGTTTGGACCAGAGGTCCAAACCCTCCTTTCGCAAACATCGTAGTTACCTTTCGATCAACACAGCCTCACCGAGGCTCACGCAATACTTGTGTTTATTTTGGGAAATACCGCGGTGCATTGTGGTCCTCTTAAAACGGTGTGTTAGATTTCAACGTATGGGAAACATTTCTCAGTGTGTCACTTTATTTTTTTCTATAATAAAAATACCCCAACGTATTTTTTTTCTCCCTCAAAATGCTGCGAAAACTTCCAACATTCGAGAACCATGGCGTCCTTGCTTATGTTGGTATAAGAAAATAACTCAGTTTAGTGAGGTAATACATTTTATTTTCTAGCATAATGTATTTTTTAAAATAACTCTCTCGGGTACTTTAATGCATATTATATTATTCACCCTTTTAATAAAATGTAAAAAGAAAATTAAACATTTTTCAAAAGAACTTACGACTCAGACCATAGTTCTGCTCATAACAAAATCGTTAATTTTGCAAAGTTTTACAATAAACTGACGATTTAAATTTTGTTCTTAGTCGTAAGTTCTTTTGTAAAACAGGCCCCATTTAGGCTCGTTAGGCAGTGGCGTAGCTACCATGTGTGCTTGAGCCTGCATATCATTTTGAAACAAAATAATAATGAAAAATAATTCATAAAAAAATTTTAAATTATGAAAATAATCAACTTGTAAGTATTGTATAAAGTCATAGACATATAAGAGAGGTCTCTTATATGTCTATGATAAAGTTAAATATGTTACATTTAATCTAGAACTGTTTGTGTCCATACTTGAATAGAATAGTTTCTCATATTATATTTAGAAATGAAAAATTGGCAGAACACAATATTATCTTCTGCCTAGTCATGTACAATTTTTTTTTTTTCAAATAGGTAGTTTATGTGCAATATATACTAATAATGTCCAATATTGTTCTGATTATTGCAAATTATTGCTTTTTTTTTTTTTTTTTTAAATAACACCCATTTTCAAATCCGCAAATGTACGATTCGGTTATTAAGCTATCTTGTTAATTTTTTTGGAAAAATATTCTAAAACGAGTGCGAAAATTGTTAATGCAACTATCCTCAAAAAGTTAAATGATTTTTTAGCATTATTTTCCCCCCAAATCAATTAAAATTTTGGGTTGAATTAACAAAGATAAAAAATAATAATAGCCCCCTTCCAAATTTAAAAAAGAAACCGTACTGAACAGTTGGTGCCCGGTCTAGTTGACTTTTTTAAAAAGTCACACTGAGTTCAAACTACATGTAAAATAATAAAATATTTTATATAAGTAGAAACGGAATTTCCTAATTCTTGTCCTCAAAAAATTATTTTGAAAAAAAAAATGTAAAAAAAAAAATCTACATGACGCAGAAAAGATAAATGTAATGCTCTCTAAAATTGCCGTGATTGACCTCGACCTCGATCGTATCAATTAATATCATTATTGTTATTATATTGTTTATTATCCTTCATATGCTGTTCATTGAAAAGAAAATCATTAATGTAATAACATCATTTTTTTAAGTTGTCTTTAAGTATTGTCTAATTTCCCTATAAAATCTCCTTTTGAATTCGGGAAAAAACTGCTACAGAGGAAGTATAAAATGTCGTGTAAATCAAACGTACCTAAAATTCGTTCCGCTTCAGTTCATAAATCCCGCCCATTATGGCTGTTCTATTCGAAGACTTATTTTTTAAAAAATAAAAAAATTAGCAATTTTTTATACAGAAATTAAGCACACTAATCATTTAAAACGTATCAAGTATTTAAAAGATCGATGTATTAAAAATTCAGTTTTAAGCGTAATGTTTTTATTGTATGCCAAAGAGTTTTCCGTCTTGAAATTAATACGAGGGAGTAAATTGTAATTGCAGTAATGTTTTGACACCTGAGCATGGTTTAAAAGGGGCATTAGGATACGAAGCCAATGGATTAATATAAGTGTGAATTTGAGATTAAAGGTTAGTATTAAGTTGTGGAAATATTTGAATAATCAAATGGCTTAAACGTATCTTGTCTTTTGCTTGAAAATAACTTTCACTCTCGCGGCGGCATATTTTGATGTCGTTTGGGCCAGTGGCATTGATGTTTGCACGAGTTGTGGAAGGCCTCAACATGCTCAAGGAAAACAGTGATTACACGTTAGGCCTAATTAATAATTTGATTTTGGAAGTTTATTAAATTATTTTGTTAAGAAGATGTTGAGCTAGTGCTGGATGAAATTAAAGCAGATTCTAAGTAATAGAGGTAAAATGCAATGTCGACATTCTCGCTTTGGATTCCAGTTTATCGATCAGTGTACTTTCTCAGTTTATGAAATAACATGTGTTGGCCTATGTAAACGCATGGAAAATTAATCTGTATTTTTTTTTTTAATTACAGATGGAAAAAAAACGGTGAAAGAGGAATAATGGCTTTCATAGGATGGCAGGGCACAGGTGTATGTGTGATTTTTCATATGATGATAATACATTATAGGCCTAGTGTATGTGGGGATACAAGTTCCATAGTTATTCCCTTTACAGTCCCTGTGAATACATTCATAACGAAGCTTTCCACTAGCCATGCTGAATTCAACACCGATGAAAAGCTAGCCAAATCACTCTTCCATATCTCTGAGGATGGAAAATTAACAACGAAAAAGGAATTGTTTCCACATGTCGGAAGATCATTTTCACTCATTCTGTCAAATGATTTCCATGAGTACCCATTCATTGACATTTTATATTTAAACATTGGCCCCTCATGGGAACTAAAAGCATTTTCCAGTCAGACTTTTTATGGCATGATTCAAGAAAATCTGCCACCTGATTCAGAAGTGAAATGGAAGGAAAATATTCATCTAAATTTTAATGCAGTTAAATACATATTAGAACCTTCAAATGAAAAATTTATAGTGAACATTACAACTGATTCCACAGCTATCTCTCAAGTGAAAATTGTGACTACAAGTGAATTAGATCGTGAAAGTGCGAGTGAACACATTTACATTTTGAAAGCTTGGCTAAATGATACTGTATACACATCTACCATTTTAAAAATCAAAGTTCTTGATATCAATGACTGCATTCCAAAATTTTCTCAGAAAATTTATAAAAGTACAATTTTTGATGATAGTATATATGCACCTAGTACTAATGTATTGAAAGTTTCTGCATTTGACCAAGATGTAGAAGATCAAATAATTTACAGTCTAAGTGGTACAACAGCCTTCGCCATTCATCCAAATTCAGGTTATTTGACGGCAAAAGCAGTACGTCCAGGAAACTATAACTTCAAAGTCTATGCAACAGATACCAGTGGAAAACAATCAAATGCATTAGTATCTATTCGCATCCTCCCAAGTACTTTAAAGTTTAGACCATTCCATCAAATTTCCAAACGACAAGCAAAATTCATGACTGTGGAAAAAACTTATGTTGTTCTAGAAAATCAAACAGCTGGAACTGTTGTCTTCAGTGTTGCCTCCAAACCAGCAGCGCCACCAGGAACTGAGTTTTATTCCATTCTTTATGACTCAATTCAGGCTTTTCAGGTGGACACCAGGGGGAATGTCTACCTGAAGAGTGGGCACATCCTGGATTATGAAAATCCCCAACACAGAAATGTGACAGTTCGCTTCAACATCACCTCTTCTCTCTCCCAAGGTTTGTATCTTTACCTGAGAATGTTGTAAGTAGATATAAAAGCAGCTGAAACTCTAATTTATATCCTCATCACACAGCTCAGCTTGGAAAAAGTGAATGTTGCCGGGTACTTGTCCAATGGACAAATGTTTTTTCTGTTTTAAAGTTGAAAATCAAAAATTTAAAACTTGTTGTCAGTTGTTTATCGCAGGTTAATACATTTGCCTAAATACTGTAAAAGCAGAAATATTTGTTGGGGATTAAATTTCATTTATTTCATTGTTAAATCCCAAATGAAATTTTAATATGGATATTGAAAATTATGTTTTCTTTTTTATCAGAAACAATGAAATTAAATCCCCATAAAAGCATTTTTGATCACAAATCCATGAAATTTTATCCCAACGAAAAATTTGTGATTCTACAGTACTGTAATTAACTTCAATCCCCAATGGTAATAATGAATTTAGATCCCTGTCGTCAAACTCAATCGAGACTGAAGTTGACCATGGGAGCAATTACTTTCCATTTTGAACTTTGATAAGTTGCATGGATCTGACAAGTTTGCAATTTCAGTTAGGGTAGGAAAAGCTTTAATAAAGGAAGACAATGGTGATAAAAAGAGGAGAAAAAGACAAATTAATGTTCGATTTTGATTTTTTAACCTATTTCTCTTTGTCATTTTTCTATGATCTTGATTTAGCATTAATTGACCTGTTGACAGGATGATATTATAACTAGTAAGTTTCATAATTTGCTATGTTTTAAAATTATCATAAAGTAGACTCAGGGAATTTAATATGGACTCTATACCATTTCAATATATAATTTTTCAAGTTGTCAAGTAATTCTTGATTGAAGAAAATTTGGCAAGTAAAAGTTATGTCTGGACCAGTAAATTTCTTAGTCACTTATCCGAATGGACAAGCAAGAGAAACATTAATCTAGAGCCCTGCATCATGATCCAGTTTTTAAATGTGTACACCAAGTACACCTGTAAATTTTTATGCACCTTTTCTTAATGATTTAAAATTGTTATTGGTAGGAAAGTGGGTATATTACAAATGTTTAAGTATGGTTTCATCTATGGAGGAGTTGATTTATTGTTCTACCTTCCAAGGAACAGATGTTGAATGTTTCTCTATGGCCACTGGGGTATCTGTTGTTTGAAGCTGACCTAAAAATGTCATCTTGCAGTCTTTATAGTCTTTACTCAAAAAGATTGTTTCAATTGTTTAAAGGCCTATTTACACGGTCTGACTTGTAAGATGTGATTTCAGATGTGATTTCACATCTGACTCCAGTGTTTCATTTACATTGTATGATTTGTCAGATATGTAGTTCATTAATATTTCCCTCCAAATTTCTTATTGTTTACAATTTAAGAATGGAAAACGGCAATTACATACTACCTTTCCATTTCCTAATGATAGCAGCTATTTGCCAATTGAACACAGAAGAACATGGGCAAGACCTTGGTTAGGACATGGTGCATATTATGCAATAAGTAAAGAATTGGCCACGGAAAACCCAAATGGTTTCATTTTTTCAGACAAATTTACTTCTGAGTATGATTTTTTAATCAATCTGTTTGTTCAGTTTCACTTTCCTGCCATTATCAATTCGAGTACATGGAATGAAAAATTCCCCCAAGATTTGGCCATGTAAGATATCACATTAATCTTAAAATTAATCTGGAGCAAAAGTTCGGGAAAAATCCACGTTAATAGTACCTAATTTAGATCAACCTTTATGACCTTTCTTATGATTGGTTGAAACCATCTGACTTGCCAGACAGAATAGAACATGTCTCTATTCCATCTGACTCCATCTGACTTCATATCTGGCTTATGATTTCCCTATTTACTCGGTATGATTTGTAAGATGTGGCGAGTCACATCTTACAAATCATACCGTGTAAATAGGCCTTAACATAGTTTCACTTTTGAAGCACAGTTAAATGCTTGGTCAAGGATTTAATATTTAAGCACAATTTTTAAACATTCTCATTTTTTTTTTAAAAATTTGAACAAAATTTAAGATTTTTAAAAAATTAAACTATGATTTTAGAAGAACTTTATAAGACTCTATTAAACTAAGTCTCATTTTCTGTTTTGTTTGAACTAATGCTGCATTACTGTGCTTTATCTCTGATGTCCAGTATCAATTACATGGATGAGAGGTCTATATCATGCTTAATATGCTGAACAAATTTTAATGAGGATAATCAACCTATCACCATTCCATACTAATTGATACTTGTATGTAAAGTGGCAGCTGCTTAACTATGTAGCAGATATGGTGTGGCTATGAAACTGATAACCTTTGGTTTTCAGTTAAATAGATAGATATATTAAAAATATATATATAAAAATATTTATTTGATAAAAATACATGTTTATATATATGAGAATTTACTATGAAGAATTTCTCCCTAGATTTTCACTAATATAATCTTCGTTGGTAATTTTTAAACATGTCAAATGTATGGGTAGAGCTCTAGAGGGAGAGGGAGAGAGAGAGAATTTTTGAATAAAAGACACAAAGTCTAATTGTGTGTATTTGTCTGACATTTCCAATCACTCTCTATACTCAGAAATCCCCCCAATCTGTCTTTGAAATCCCTAGTCTTGATTGGAGTTGATCCTAATAATTGGATTATCCAGGCCCCCAACAAAGCCAGATAAAAGCTAGTAAAAGTAGCACAGTGCCTAAGGGGTGGGCATAGACCCATAATTAGTATCACCCAGTCTTTGCTGGTTTGTCAGAGATTGACACTCTTTGTAATTTTCAGTATAACTTGTCCCAAAGAGGGGTCTTTAAAGTTGGTGTTAACAGTAGGTTTTACAAATGCTTGCTAAGGCCACTAGTTTGGAACATTTTATACTATACTGAACAATAAAAACTATACAAAATTGATGCATTAAGCAAAGATCTGATGATGTTATAGCAACTGCAATAGTAGGATTATTAGTTTCATATAAATATGCTTCTTGTGCAGGATGTAAATAGTTTTGTTAAACTTAGATCATGCACACCCCTTTCTGATCATCAGAACTTTATTGGGGTTTTATCTGTAAATCAGACATGTGGCATGCTAATTTTTACATTGCATAACATTGAGCTGAGTCATATTCTCTTGTAGTATCTCTTGTTGAGGGTATTGCAATTCACCCCATTGCAATGGTGCAAGGATGAATACTGCAGGATGAAAAGATTGCATGTCTGGACAATCAGTCATTCATCATGTTCAATTCCCATTATATTTGCAAATGAATTAAAAAATTCCGTCAATGAGAGAAAAACAAAATGCATTCAGTTAACTGTATTGGGAATCCAAATGAAACCATGGAGAACCTAAAAGCAATTGATGAAATTAAAATATGGAATGGTTCCAGAATTTTGGAACTTTGGAAATGAAAAAGCACATCATTGAAGAGTTTTGAAAACTTAAGAGTCAATGGACACAGATTATAGAAATGATTTCAAGGGGTGACACTTTGTGAAAAATGCAGTATAAATTAACCCCAATAAAGATTGAAAGTGTTTATGGTTGGAGCCAGTCTAGACTAAGCAGAGAAACTAAAGAGCAGTTCCAGGTCACCCAGGGTCATAGAGAGCAATTACAGCTGTTAGATAGGGACCATAATTGTCAGGGGTGCTAGTGCCATGTGCCATAAACACTGCAGTGATTTATGAGCCATGAAATTCACCCTCTTTACAAAACTGTTGATGGAAATGAGCATTTTCTGTTCATTTGTTTGGAAAATGTAAAAGTTCTATACATGTCATAGAAATTTAGGAAGAATGGTTTATTTTGTTTGCATGCACCTCTCAGACATTTATGACTTCTTTAATTATTAGGTAGAGAGCTTTCTGTTGTTAGTGTTCCATGCACATGTCAACTTGACCAAGTCCAGGTGTAAAAGTCTTTCACCTGATTTCTTTCTATATATGTAATGGTCACTCTGCAGACTTTATTTACTTTGCTGATCTAAGTTTGTTTTTACTTGCCAGATACCTTGTTATTCTGATCTTTCACTTGCTGCACATGAACAAAATGTACCTGCTTCAGCCCTTTTACATGCTGTGCTAATGTTATACTATTGTTTGTGTAATAGTCTTTTTCTTGTATCTCCTTGTGACTGTCCTGTTATACTTTACTCAGTCTATTGTGTGTTAAAACAAACATATTACTGCATTTTTGTAACAAACCTAGAATAATATTGATGGATTATAGATGAGATAATAAAAATCGTGAGGTAAAGCATGTGTCCATTTAATTATACATCAAATGCCAAAAGGTACCTTGATTTTGCATTTCAGTGACTTTTTAAATCAAAGTTTCTTGGAAGTTCAAACAATCGATCATGTTTTTGTGTAATAAAAAGTTATGAATCATTAGCATCAGATTACAGAAAATTAGTTGGAAATTCAAAATATTGCTGTAGTTGTTAATCTTGCTATTAGAGACAAGAAGCACCACCTAAATGTAATGAGAAGAGGATGAATCACGGATCAAAGGAGTAGTATTTATAAGGAGCCTTGTGTTTATTAGATCTAGTCTCTGTTTCATCCGTGCAGTCTCAGAGAGAGAAAGAGGGAGATTTTCCCCTGACATGCTTTGATAATTGATTTGATGTATTGTAATGGGCACCCTTATGATGAAGTTCTAATTATTCTGGTAATTAGATTTTGAGGTCTGCATTTTGCACAAGAGACTTTGACTGGAACAGGTCTTTGGTGATCAATCACTTCCCCCAATGTCATTCCCATTGCATTCTGTAACACTTATTGGGGAATAAATAAAATCTGTGTGAGATTTTCTTGATGGTGTATGAGCTTGGGCATCAAGGCAGTTTGTGTGGTAATGAGTTAGTTATACCCTCAAGGAATAAATGCATTAGCAATAGACTCACATATATGATAAAATCAATAGATTTTAGAAGCATGAAATCAAAATTTACTGGTAGGCTTTCAAAACTGATCGAACTAAAATTGGACTCTTGTTGTGGTTCAGGCTAAATGTATATAATTATATATGGACCATGGATATTGGCCTGCATGGGTAGCTCAGTGGTTAAAGTACCTTACTAGTTACTAGTGATCCAGGGGTCCTGGGTCTGATTCCTGGTCCAGTCATAAATGTTCTCCTTTCCTAGCTTTTATGTTTGTAAAGGGTAATTAAAGCAATTCCCTGTTTTGAAGGCACATACAATCTAATAGACATTTAGACTTTGTTCTAATAATCATGATAATTGTTGAATTCTAAAGAAAGATGAACAGAAAAGATAATTAAATGTCAGTTAGTATGAGTATCTACTGGTATATTTATATCATGTATATAAATTATTGATATATTTTAATTTTTACAGTTTAACAACCTACTCTCTTTCAGTAATCTCTACAGTTTATAAATTCAAGCATTAAATTATATAAGATTAAGATGATCAGTGCACACTCTTTAATTAAGGAAAACTAAATAATGCATATGAAAGCAAGATTGGTTCTTTCCAACTCATTAACTTCATATAATTCCAAGAGAAGAAACTGGTCTAGAGATGAAAGAACACGAAATGTATTGAATTGAGACAAAAGAACATGTTTCCCAGTTGTAGAGCATCTTGATCGATTGTGTCTGAGTCAAAAAAAGAGTTACCTTAATTGATCTGGAAATGACAAGATTATAAACTTGGTGGTCATGAAGGCGAAGATGTGGAATTCTTCTAAAGGGTCACCCAATCAATACTGACATGCACACATCTTGGGGGATTGAGGAGCAAACAAACAAATAAAAAAATAGGGGATGTGTGTGAGACAAATTCTTGGTTGGCATTGAGAAAAAAATTTCCTTGGCCTTTTTCATTGTCTTTGGAAAATATCAACATCTATCCCAGCCTTTAGTTATACTGTTAATGGATTGTAAATGATGTGAAGTTTCTGAAATTTGATCATAATATTTATTTAGAACTGCATGAATATTTTTAAGCTTTTCTTTATACATTTGAATAACATTAAATGTTAAGACAAAAATTAATACTTAGTATCATGGTAAATCTGACAAGAAATTTTGGAACATAACATTGTTTATGCTTAGTGAAAATTGAATGTTTTGAACAATCAGTGTGCTGAAAATACAATATATTGCTGAGGATTGCATTTAATTCAAATGGAAGGTTGTCTAATTTGGAATGTTTAGAGTATTTTGTCGATTTCCAAATGTATTGATAATCAGAAAGAAATGTGTGAATTTTATGAGAAGAGTCGACTTAGACAAAAAGTATCAACAAAAATATAAGACAAGTGGACTAGTTCATCTCCTTAGTTTTATAAACATGGTTTATTTTAAAATGTTCAGCAAGATATTTCACCTTGACTTTTTTTTTATACTGGTATGTCCTTAAAAATTCTATATCGACCAGATCTCGTGGTGTGCATTCTACAGCACATTATCCCCAGCAAACGGACATTTCCTTCTTCCACCATGAAAGAGTTCTGTTAACTAAAATAATCTTGGTATCAAGTTAAGTCTTTCTAACTTTCTCAATATGATCAGATCTAATTTTTACTTTTAGAATCTTTGGGTACATGTTTTATTCAGTGTTCTGACAAGTCTAATGAAGGATAACAACTTCTGCTATCTTTGTATTCATTTTCTGACCAATTCCATTTACACTGATCTTAGTTTTTGTGTAGCAAAGAAAAAATGCAATTGAGAAGAATAGCATAATTGCTTCACATATTAGATATGATTTTAAAGTATATTGTATTAAATTTGTATGCTATATATGTATGTTTACTTATTTGATGATTCAAGAAGAGAGAAATCTTAATTTCAAAGACCTCTCTATAAATATAAGTACACTGTAGGAGGAAAGCTACTTGAAATGATGAGCTTTTAGATAATGGAGAAACAGCATCAAGTGCCATTTTTTCATGATCTTGCACACACAAAAAATTTGCTCACAACTTGTGTGCTGCTCTGTATTGATCAGGAAGACTCACAAAGATTGATGGTCCAGAACTACTACTATCAGCCCTTGATGTATTGATCTGAAACAAAGAGCTCTGCTGCAGCCAGACACATTTTGATGCACCCAAATAATGATAGCAATTATATCACAGACATCAATAATACAGTGATATTTTGCCTGTGATGTAATGTTAAATATGATAGTGTCGGATGTCTTTGAAGATGTAATGGCATGAAATAATTGAAATCCCTGTCTGAGAGATGCTGTTGTATTGATTGGTGAATACATTTTCTTCTATGAAGATTAAACCTTGACAGAGAGGGTGTTATACATATATGTGTGTATAATTATTTGGTCATGTAAGGGGTTAAATCGAAAGAATGATGTCTGATAGAAATCCAAATTAAAATGATTAGTGGGAGGGGGTAAAGAGCCCCAAAAGTTTTTGTTGTAACTTGCCCCTAATGAAAAAGGAAATTTTACATAGGTATTGTAATTGTTTTCATTAGATGTGGATTAATTGTGTTTTTTAGTGTTGGTAAAGACAATGGCATAGTATTTTAAGATTTTTCAGAAACATTTAAAAAATATTGTTGGGTGTAAATTGGGTATTCTTCATTTTCTAAAGAACAAGGTTCACTTTAAGGGCCTTTTTAGGCCCTGTGAATTTCTGAAAAAGTGAAACTGCTTTGTTTTAGTTGACAGTGCTTTACATATCATTTAGACTCTTGATGATTGCGAATCTATCAAAAATGACGTAATTTTCTAGCTAGTAAATGCATTATGACGTCATGAATTGCGTCATTTTCCTCATATCCTGAAAAATTCAATGAAACAGCCAATTTTTAAAGCAATTTTTCAATATTTCATATAGAGTGCAACCTCTGATCTAAAATATTTAATTATCAAATGATAAACCTTTTTCTGAGGATTACAAAACATGTTTTATTTTTTGGATCAAGAAGTACGCTCATATTATTTTTCTTCTCTGAAAGCACTCAAATATACCCGTTTTCTTCAAAACTCAAGAACTGTACATTGCAATTTCATAAAGCCTGTTTTCCTATACCTGAACTTTCAGAAGAAAATTTTTAATAGGAAATGTAAGCACTAAGTCTCTACTATATCTTGATGTTTGAAATGGAACATAGAGTGTTATTTTATAAGTATTAAAAGTAAGTAAATAATTTATTACAGTGACATTTGTATATATATACAATAATTTTACATTCATTAAACAACTAAACATGTATGAACAACACCCGGCCCATCAGACCTATAAGTCACTTTAAGAAATATAAATATACATTACATGCATGAAATTTTTTGTTGTCTCATACCATAAATGTTATATATGAAATTCGCAGTTTGACATGGGAAGTGAGTTAATAGATATTTAAAGAGAACATTTAAATCATTATTATGTAAATTTGAGGTTCCAGTATTTCTTAGAAAGTCTTGTCTACAGTTTTTATAGAGATTACATTTTAATAGAAAATGAAGTTCATCCTCTACTTTGTTAAGATCACAGAGATTACATATTCTGTCTTGAATATTGGTTCTCTACGATAGCAGTCAGTCTCGATACGCAGTGGGAGCACCCAACACCGGAATGTCACCATTGTAGACCTTACTGGTTTCGGCAAGTCCATCTCAATGTAATGTTCAAGGCCGTATTCTTCCTTAAGAATGCAGTACATCCGTAATTTTGCAGATTTTTTAATATCAGATTGCCATTTGGATTGTTGATTTAAAAGTTGTCTCTGAATAAAAATTTGAATATCGCAAAACTGCATGTTATGGAAAATGTGGTTTAAATCTGGGTTTTTCAAAGAGAATTTTATAAATTGGTATACCTACAGGGCCATTTTATGCATAAAGTGAGCCTAGCTCTTTTACCAACAATTTTCCTTAGATCAGTGATATAAAGTCATTTGAGAATTTTATTTGGAAATTGGCATTTCAATTCTTTTTTTCTTTCTTTTTTTTTTTTTTATCTATATGCATGTCATGCCCTGCTATTAAGTGGCTGTTCATTTGACATTTAGAGTATCTTTCCTTTTCTTTAGAATACCAGATATGGACTGTACATTTGAATGTGACAGATGTAAATGACGAAAAGCCGAGATTTGTAAACCAGCCTCACCCGTTCTTAGCCACTGTACCTGTCAATCCCAGAATTGGAGAACTTGTATATGAACTCCTAGCAACAGATCCTGACACAAACTCTGATATACAGTATAATCTTGTGTCTGGTAAAAACATATGATTATTTATGAATTTAATGAAAATTTATTTTTGAAAATATGACATTTTTGGGCAGAAATATGCAAAACATAAGGTTTGCATTTGAATGCTTTTTAATTTGACGTAATTGAAAATGTAGCATACCTGTATATGACTGATAGAATGACATCATTTGTTGTTCAGGACTTCGTAAATATACCTCACTTTTAGAAGAATGCAGAACATAGATCATAAATCCTTTGTAACTTTTTTTGTTATTTATAGTTAATATATGATTATGATCATTTTATAAAATTTAATATATTTAGGGGGAGAAGGGAAATTCACAATAGAGCACATAGACAGGGGCATTGGTCGACTTGGTCGTATTGTAACAACAGTTAATGGAAATGGACAGTTCATACCAGGTCAGGAGTATGAACTTGTGGTCTCGGCTCAGGACCTGGGGTCTCCCATCATACAGAAGTCTAACTTTGAAGTTGTCCGCGTCTTGGTGGGGTCCAGACCCCCTCAGTTTTACAGCTTTTACAAACCTTATGTGGCTTTCATCACAGAAAACAACCAACCAGGATACAAGTAAGTTAGAAGGTTGAAGATATTTAGATGTACACACAATAAAATAATTTTCATTATTAAGTGTGAACAAAATGACATTTTAGATTGTTCTTTATGTGGTATGAACTTGCGTGCCTCACACAATTTTGTTCTTGTAATTAGATTGTGTTGTGCTGCATCCCAATTGGCTCTCTGAAGTTTTCTTTATAGCCTAATCTTGATAGTGTTTGAATCTGCAAACTCTATTTATTATCTTTTTTAGCATTTTTATGTGTCTCCTGTGATTACAAAAAGTCAGTTCTAGAGAAGTTGCTCAATTAAAAAAAGGAGAGAGGGAAATGCCATTTCAACAGTGCTAATGCAACTTGTTTTATAGGGTAACAGTCATACCCTTTATCAGCATGGGTTAGGTCAGACTGGTGCTATTCTTAATGGTATAGACACTAGAATGAGATTCTGTGACCGAATACTTTAGATAATGACTGATCTTTTTCCTCCATGTGGTTAGTCTCACAAGGACAAGTCTGTTTTATCTTTCTGATAAGAAATTGTTAGTTTTCCTTTTTGTTGACTTTTGTATCTGAGACATGCAGGCCACAAAATACATGTAGAGATAACTGATAATAGATGGTATGCAATTTATAATCGCGAATTTTTATACAAAGCACAATACTTAATCTATATACAATTTATGAATTGAATGATAACTCTATATATTATCACTTCTTGGAAATTGTCATGGAAATGATCAGTTGAATTCTCTACATGAACATTGCCTCTACTGCATGAAAACAAAAATGTTTTTGCATACCAGTTTTAAAGCTTTTGATTTATAATCAATATGTTGACAAAAACAGGTTGGCAAAATGAAAGAGCTTTGCAATGAATACAAAAAAATTTTTGGATAATGCATCTTTTGAAATGAGGTATAATTTTTTTGCTAGAAAAATGTCCAGTTTGCATGTTGAACTTTCTAAAGGATGCACCCCCCCCCCCCCCCCCCCCCCGATAACGCTAGAGTGATTTGATGGTTTCAGAGATCCTATGTTATTGTCTTGTTTCTGAAAGATACAAAACATAATAAAAGATACAATTTTGACAAGTTCAATATCTAAACCACTTCTCTTAGGAAGAACTGAGGCTGATTTGTTAGAGGCAGCAATTAAGCTGACTCACTAGTTTTGAATTGTGATTTACAAAGTCAGGGAAAGACCCTAAATTTGGGGAGTTATCAGGAGGGTCTGACATTTCTGTCATTTGAAGATTGCTTGAGATCATTCAGGAGAGTGGATTTAATTTCCAGTGAAAGAGTAATTTGACAACTGCCTTAAAAACTGAAAATCCACAGAAACATCCCAGTGGGGTTATGTGGGTGGTATATTTTTCCAATAATCATTTTTGTGCCAATATGTTCTATGTAACATTTGTCCTTCATTCCCCGTTTTAATCAGTTTTGGTCTATCTCAATGGATCTTTAGGCTATACTGATAAACATCAAATCTATTTTTTTTTAAATTAATCTCTACATGCAACAATTTCGATCAATTTGGAACTATGTTTTAAAATTAGTTTTAGATTGAAAGAAAATTGGATTGCCCAGTAGTTTGTTTTATTGTGAACATTTGAAATAGATCCAAACCAAGACCCTGAAAAGTGCTAAGCATTTGTGTATGTATTCATGTTTTTGTATAGCATGGCGAGAAAAAGTGTGATCTAGATATTTCAACATTTCAACAGTTCCAGAGCAGATGATGGTATCATGGTAAATACAGCTGCACACTGTGTAAATTGGGCTGGGAAAAACTCATTGTTCTATAAATATAAACTCTCCCCATGTATGATGCAGAAACTTGCCAAAATAACAGCAAGTGAAGCAGATTTAATATAGCTCTGATTGAAAATGTTATGTAACACCTATACAGTGTCATTTTATAGCATTAAATAAACAATATAAGTCACAACGTGAAAACTTGATCTTTTCTGCAGGAGATGCATTTGATATGTATAAGCACTTATCTTTTGGGTGTGAGTGTGATTCAGGCACATCTATCTCTATATCACTTGTCTTTAGCTCCCTTGGTGTAATTATAATGCTGAGCTGTCTTACAAAAGGTTAACACATTATGATTAAAGAATATTTGGAGTGCTGTTGCTGCTATTTTTGATAAAACTATCAGACATTAAATTCATTGGCAACCTGTATATCTGAATTTGTCTGAAACAATCAGATAAGGAAAACAAATTTTATAAAAAGGAAAATAAAATGGCAGAGGATTTTTACTTGATTTCTTGTCATAATCTTTTTGAAGTAAAAAAAAAATAACATTTGATAAAGTTGTGTGATTTTAATAGTGCAGAATAAAGAAATAAGTCTATTTCAACCTTCCAAGTAATATCAACTTTCACTATAATTTGTAGGTTGCAGTCAGAGGGAACAACTCTTATTGTCCAAGCCAAGGCTTTCCAGTCCAAGTCTGACAAGGGAGCTGTGGAGTACCAGCTTACAGACAACTATGGCTACATTAGCTCTGTATTCTCTATCAACTCTGAAGGAGAGATTGAGGCCTTACAGAGTCTGGACTATGAGACTTCACCTCACACTTATACCCTCAAACTTATAGGTACAGAAAAGTCCACAGGGCTCAGTAATGCCACCCAGGTAAGATTTCAGTAGTTATTGTTTACTTTAAATGAACACAGATATGGCTGTATATTTTAGTAATTTAACAGTTATACCAGAAGTAGCATAAATCAGAGATTTTTTATGAATTTGTTGGATGAGGTTTATTATGATTTGAAGTGACAATGCAATTCTTTTGATACTCGCAGTTTTTTTCCTACACTACAAATTTTTTTTTCATAAAATGAGTGCAAGAGACATTTTAGTGACAGAATGTATTTAGTACAGAAGTACTTAATGCTACTGTGGAAGTACAAGTTCAATACATATATTACAAGTACATGTACCAGTTCTTTTGCATCTCTGAAAACTTACAATAAGTAAGAGCTGTTATCTTTGCAGCTGATTGTTCACCTTGAGGATGACAATGATAATGCTCCAGTGTTTGAATTATCTACCTATACCAATGTCACAAGTGAGGGCACACCAGTTAACTCAGTCCTGTTTTCAGGTAATGTTCTGGACAAAAATGATCATAAACTTGTAGTTTGCTACATGTATTTGTAAACTCTAGAGAAAGATTCTCTGTGTAAGCCTGTCTTATGAAGGTAATCATTTTTATTTCTTGGAAAGATATTAATTTCAAATATATAGTCTAAGGTTGATAAGTATTTAACACTTATACAGTGGAATCAGAGAAAGTTGATTTAAATAATAAAATGCTTTCTTTGTTTCTTAATGCAGGAATTAACAGTTGCAACTATTGCAGAAAAAAAGATTCTGCGGTGGACAGTTGCAACTGTTAATCCTGCATTGACATAGAAAGACATTTATTGCTTATATTTATGTCTGTATAAATAAGCCCTATAAATTAGGTTTAAGTATGTAAAAAATGTTTCATTGATCTGTACATCAAGGTATGTTTTTAAGAAATCTTTCATACAGGTAGCCTTGAAAGGGGGTTCTAATGGATTGATAAAGGGAAGTGGTTTTCATATAAAGGAGAAAATATTCTGTAGATGTAAATATAATGTGATTTACAGTGATTGTCACATTTTTTTTAATAATTGGGGTGCTTGTACATGTAAATTTCTGGTCTCTTAGAGTTTAAAAATTTTACTTTTAATGCAAATTAATGAAAGATAAAATCTTCATGTGTATAATTTGGTGGAGAATTGCTAATTTTGAAGAGAAAAAAAAGCAACAGTAAATTAGTGGTTGTGAAGAACATTAATTGATGAATTCATGAAAATTCTGTTAGTGACAGCAACAGACAAAGACTCCGGATCTAATGCTGAGCTGACATACACAGTCAGTGATGATAGTTTTGTCATAGAAACCAGAAATGTCAATGGAAAATACATCGGAGATATAAAAGTGGCAAAGTAAGTTATTTTTAGTTGCCCATTTAAAAGAATGAGCATTTTATAACAGGAACCTTGCGTAAAAAGTGTTTAAAAAACAAAAAAGATCAAGAAAAGATATTTAAAGCAAATTTAAATGCATGTTTTTGTTGTGGAGTGTAACTGTTATATTGTAAATTTATATTGTAGGAGATTAGATTATGACAGTCGAGCTGATCGCCAGTACAAGTTTGATGTCAGGGCCACAGACCATGGTAACAAGTCCTTCTCTGGACTAGCCAGTGTTGTATTGTATGTGACCAATATTAATGATGAGGCTCCTGTTTTCAGTGAGGAGAAGGACAACATTGTGGCTAAGATTAGGGAGGATCAGAAGGCGGGGAGTTACGTCACAACTGTACAAGCAGTGGACCCAGATGGGGACAACATTGAATACTACTTTTCTCGTGAGTGGGTTTAAATGAGGGATTGAGATTTACTTCTTCTCTTTGCTTAATTACCTGTCTTACTAATTTTTGTAAACATTCTAATTTTGTAATTCTTTCAAGATGAAAAAAAATTGATCCTCAAGAGAAATGATGTTTATTTATAAATTTGTTATCTGATCATTTTCTTTTTGTAGCAAAGCATCAAATATCAAAAAACTCCTTGTTCCGAATTGAGCCACACTCTGGAATAATCACCCTGACCAATACTATTCCTCCTAGCATTCCAAGCTACATCTTGAATGTGACAGCGTATGATGATGGAAGTTGTTGTGGGGGCTATCCTCGTCTTAGTAGTAGTTCCTTTGTCATCATTAAGATTATGGACATTAACAACAATAATCCCACATTTCCCAGCTGTAATTATGCACCATCAGTGTTGGAAAATCAGCCACCAGGAACTAGAGTTGTTGATGTTAGTATGTCTCTGATTATCACCATTGAAGTTCAAGAAAATGTCAATTAACCAATATCCTGTCAAATTCAAGCAAGGTGTTAGGGTCAAATTTGAAGTTTTACAGCTATATAGCTAATTATACATGTATGTATCTTGATAAAAAAAGTTAGTGTTTCTTGTACTCACTGAGTTATCATTCAAATATTCTAAAATTATCTTAGCATAGGGGAGTACAAAAAAGCTTGTTGATGCTCTTTCTTCTAAATATTCAGAATAATGTTTCATATTTCAGGTCTTGGCAACAGACCCTGACAGAGGAGATAACGGTAAAATTACTTACTCTGTTGTAACTCCAAACAACCAAGAAAAAAACTTTGAGGTCAACTCAGAAAATGGCACTGTGGTTACCAAACGCATGTTTGACCGTGAAAGTGAAGCTGGTGTCCGTGGTTACTCGGTCACTATCAAAGCAGAGGATCATGGGGAATCTCAGCAGCTTAACACGCTTTGTACTTTCTGGGTGAGAATTCTGGATATTAATGACAACCCTCCAATGTTTGATACAGAGTCTTACATGCAGATTGTGGTCAGGAGTACCAGTGTCAACAAGAGAATCATGGGAGTTTTGGCTGTGGACAAAGACAAAGAAGTGAATGCAGAAGTGCAATACTCTCTAGTGGATAACCCTGGGGACTATTTCAGGGTGGACACTGATACTGGGGGACTTTATCTGCAGAAACCCCTAACATCTGTTCCAGTGAGTATTATAATTGAAAAGTTAATTGTTTGTTGATTGGAGAAAATATCAATGATGAGGTACATTTTGCTTTGATTTTAATGCTGGCAATTCAGAATTGACTTATTCAGACAGATTTTGGCATTGAATATCTATATAAATGATTTGAATGATTTGTGATGCAATATATTAGTGAGAGGGACACGAAAGTAGCTCGGATGTTGTCAATGTATGTTTCAATTATGTTAAAAAAAATCCTGTAACTTTTATATTTTCAGCTTTACCAAGAAAAAATCATTCTGAGAATAATGGCCAAGGATAAGGGAATCCCCCCTCTATCATCCAATGCTACCATAACTATAACCTTGACAACAGGAAACCAGAACCCTCCTACTTGGAACGACAACTATGAGGGTCAGACATACACAGTGAATGAAACCTCGCAAATTGGTTTTCCGATAGCCACATTCAGTGCCACCTCCCATGTGGATCCCCCACTGGATGGAGTTAGTTTTGCTTTAGTTGATTCCAATGGGAACTCTCAGCAGACAGTGGAAAACTTCCGTGTAGATTCCCAAGACAAGACAATGAAGCTGAAGGTGGCTAATCCACTTGATGTCAGTGTGAAGAGTCTGTATACTCTTAGACTGAGAGTGACAGTAAGTGTTTTGAAAATCATGGGAAGTTCTTGTTTGAAATTTTGCATCTCATTATGTCACTTGTACTTACGGAAGGAATTTAAGAGACAAGTTGTGTTTGTGTGGTACACATAACAATAAGATAATGCAGTTTTGTGCAGAGATTGTTTGTAAAGTATTCCTTGTAAATGCTGTTGTGTAATCTGTCTTTTGTAAAAGTCTGCAAGGTGTAGTGTTTTTATTTATGGAACTTAAGGAGCTGAGTGGTCAACAAATTACCCAACAGATCCACCTAAAATATGAAATATGATTTTTCTAGCCATTAACTATTATTTAGGAAAGGAAAAAAAACCCCCACATGTTCAAGCTATAATACTAAATCAATTTCCTATAATTTATATAAAACTCTTCTTTTCCAGGAGGTTTAAAAAGTCTAAAAATTGCCATGACCAACAAGCCCTCTTTATATAATATGATTCATTTCTAGTAGAACAGTCTTATAAAAACTTTGGAAATAAAAGAATTTTCAAGATTATTTTACATTCTTGAAAAATAATCAGAATACATTTAATTCACTTTATTGAAACAATTTGTAGAACCAAGGACTTACACCTCTGTCTGATGAGATAAGGATCACTGTGAAGGTCCTAGACATGAACAACAAACAGCCACAGTTTGAAGGATTGGACCCCACCCTGAGTAATTCCTACAGAGGCAGTGTTCCAGAAAATGAGGAACCAGGGCAGTCTGTCATCACAGTCAAAGCTGTTGATCCTGATCTCCAGGCACCAAATAATGTGGTAAGGAACTGTGTTGGAATGATGTTCAAAAGGGGGAGGGGATGGGAAAATATAAAAATATTTTTTGTTGAAATTTTCTTATTTTATGTTCTGTAAAAGAATTTTTTTTTGTTGAACTTTGGCATAAGTAAAGTTTTTTTCACTTAATGATGATGTATTATTTATTAATTTTAATTATTTTTATTTTTGAATTTCCCTGCCATTCCTTAAATCATTTTTCAAAGATAAAAGTAATTTTGTAAGCAAAATATTTCTTGTAAATCAAGCAAAAATGCATTTTTCAAATGAAACTGCAAATGATTTTTTTTATACCATTCTGTTCCCAGGTGAGCTACAGTCTAGTGCCTGATAGATATGATGCCTTCAAGAAATTCCAGATAGACCCCCTTAGTGGTTTAATCTCCACAAACTACACCTTTGATAGAGAAACCATGAAAGTGTATTATATTACTGTAATGGCACAAGATGGAAGGGCCTCAGACATTCCTTATCATGAGCCCAGAGGGACACCTAACTCTGGTATGTTACTGAGCTGTCAATTTTTCTTATCATTTCATATTCTGATGATGACTGTCATTGGTCAAAAGTGGTCAACAAAATAAATTTACTTGCACATTCTCAAAATGTGTAGGTGATCTGTTTATGTCTTAAAGTTTATAATATACATGTATATTTATGTTGCATAATTATGTATGTAATATTTCATCTCAGAACTTAAAAACAAATGATTAGGATATGCTATGACTTGAGGTCAGATGTCATCTGTTGTATCCTGTGTTTCCTTTCAGCCACTACACAAGTGATGGTGACAATTGCTGATAAGAATGACAACACCCCTTACTTTGAGAAGTTGTTATATGAGAAGGACGTCCATGAACAGCCTGCAGATAGCAGTAAATCTATCCTGACAGTCAGGGCAATGGACATTGATGATGGTCAGTTGGAAAATGAGTGGAGGCTGATATGATTTTAGCATAGTTAAAGAGAATAAGTAATTTGTGGTTCAGTATCGACCATCCTAGTCTGGATTTGGTTGTTATTAAAATGGAATATACATGTATCTAGTATGTATACATTCACCTGATGTGATGAAAAAATGTACCAGTATTTATGAATTAAATCTGCCATGTGAGAGAGATTGTGTTTTACATAAAGATTTTGTTTTTCAGCTGACACCCTCACCTACACAATAACAAGTGGAAACACAGGCAATGTCTTTGGCATCAAGTCCAAGACGGGGGATATCTATGTTGCCAAAGATTTAGATTTTGAAACTCCACCAAATGTAAGTTGTGAAAGGTTTTAAACAGTAAATTTATCAGTTTGTGTATGAAAGCTGCAGTAGCTTTAACTAAACTATATCATTTTACAGCTGTACAAGCTGAATGTCACTGTCAGTGATGGCTACCATAGCAACTACACAGAAGTAAAGGTCAGGGTGAAAGACATCAATGACAATGCACCAGAATTTTCTCAGTCTGAGTATATTGTCACCAGTGTAGTGGAGGAACAGCAACCACCTACTGAGGGATTATTTCTTATAAAGGTAATAGGACACAAAGGCAATAGTCCCTGTAGAGGATAGAGTGTAGATTTCAGGCCTAGTGTCTGAAGAACTGGGATATTATTAGGGGTGAAATGATACGCCTCATTCACGATACGATATGTATCGTATAATTTTGTCTCGGTACGCTTATTATCGATACAATACGTTTTGATAGCAGGAAGCAAATTAGATGTTTCACATTTTGTTTCACTAAATCTAGTCACTAAATCTGCATGCAAATTGACTAGAAGACATTGATAACAATGAATTTACCGTTAAAAATTATTTTACAAACTATCAGCCCTCAAACATTTACGTTTTTTAGATTTTAATTGTGCTGAGTTTTACCTATGCCAAACCTGACTGAATAACGATCCCGAATGAAAAATGAACTGAACCGAAAATGGAGATTTTACACCATATATAAAACCGAGAAAAAATACTGTGGTGAATTGATACCGCTGTGAACCGTTTCACCCCTAGATATTATCATATCTTTTAAAATTTACATTTTATGGGTACCTTCTCCCCAAATATTAACAATCTCCTTAAATACTGAAATTGAAAACTTTTTATTACAAATTATCTTTCTCAAAACACACATCAAGGAAATCATGTCCAGAAACTAAATTAAATTTCAACAATCGATTTGCCCTCAGATATACATGTACAATTGATTTGAGTGGCAAGTGAAAAGGGGGAAAACTCTTATTCATGACAGAGCTACATGTTTAGCATAGTAAGAGAGAAACTGAATTCCAGAAAAGAGGGTCATTACTGTGATCGTGTATGAAAGTACAGTTGAAAATTTATTTTACAGGTTAGTGCAACAGATAAGGATACCTCTAGGCAAACCAACTTTAGATATAGTCTGAATACTGAGTATCAGGATACATTTCAAATTCATCCAACAACAGGAGTGATAACGCTACACAAATCTCTGGACCGAGACCTCCCTTATGGCCATGCAGAGTACCAGTTTAATGTGCTGGTTGTTGATGAGCCCAACACCGAAGGTGCACTGGTGGGGTATGCTTATGTCAAGGTCAAACCCCAAGACATCAATGACAAAGTTCCAGAGTTTACTCGTGACCTTACTGGATTTGTTCCAGAAAATTCTGAAAAGGGTAAGGAAATATGTAAATTTTATATTTTTAAAGGACTCTGTAAATATACAGTATATGTATAATAATGTGAAATTTGAATGTTTTAAACCTTTATTTAATAATTTGCACAGAAAAATACTTTTAATCATTTTATAAATTATACTTCAAATCTACGAGAATAACAAATTGCTTAGCAGTTAAGACTTTTCTTTCCAGGTAAAATTGTGATGACAGTAAGAGCCATAGATTATGACTTGGGAGAAAATGGCACAGTATACTACACACTGGGGAATAATAGGCCAGCAGATCCAAAAACAGGGGACAGTTTGTTTGTGATAGACAGCATCACAGGACTGGTCAGATCCAACACAAACACCCTAGACAGAGAAAAGGTGGACCAGTACATACTGCCTGTCATAGCCACAGACCGAGGAAAAGTTCCGCTCAGCAGCACCGCCTCTCTCACAATTCAAATCACAGACAAAAATGATGAAAGGCCAAGGTTCAACAAAAAGATTTACAGAGCCACCCTGCCGGAGAGCCAGACTTCAGGGTTGATAATCACAGTGGCTGCCACTGATGACGATATTGGGAACAATTCTAAAATTACTTACTCCCTGAAAAGTGATCTCAACTTCTTCTCCATCAGTAGCCTGCCTTCCAATAAAGGGGCCCTCAATGTCTATAAAGTAAATACATTGTGTTTTTCAAGATGCTTATGAATTGGAAAAGTAAGATCTGTGCATAGTTAGATTGTTGTCATGTTTTTGCTTAAATTTGTGCTTCTTACAGTGTTAAATATGAAAGAATAACAAAGAGCAGACAGATTATTTAAAATACAATAGGAAAACTTTTATGTAGAGACTTAAGCAAGTCTTACACAACTCTAAGGATAATATTCAATGATACTTTTGCTATTATACATGTACAGCTGTATAGTTTTGTAAATTTACTTTAACTTATGATGAAGCTGTTCGCAGCTATTGTCAGCAGTAAGATGTCAGTTGATAATAATATGTATACATGTATACATAATATAAGATGAACAATAAAAAAAATCATAGTGAGAATAAGGGTTACCAATCCATGTTGTCATTTCAGCCTGTGGATTATGAGGACCCCAAACAGCGGTTCTTCAATCTTACCATCCGTGCCAGAGATAATAACCCCCTCCATTATGACGAGGCTTACATAGAAATCACAGTCACAGATGCCAATGATGAAGCACCTAGGTTTACAGAGCCAGTTAAAACTGACCATTTTCCTGAGAATATTCCAGAGAAATTCCTGCTCTACACCTTCACAGCCACTGATAATGATAGCTATCCCAATAATGAGTTCTTGTAAGTCTCTGTTGTTAAAATTATATTGTTCATTAGTACATTAATAGTACATTTTTAAATTCTTAGAGGTTGAATTTATATACATGTTTAACAATTTTAGATATCTAAAAGATTTCTTTTAAAAGCCCACATAAAGTCTTTCTGGTAAGGCTGAGTAAAATTGATATTACGGTTCTCAGGCCAATTTTTTTTATTAAAATAGATGCAGGTGGGAGGCTTTTTAAAAATCTTTTTATTGGCGATAAATGAAATGCAGGAGGCATTTTTTTATTCCAGAATTTTTTATAACTATCACTGAAAACTCTTCATACATGTAGTTGTACTGGAGTCATCCTGTAGATATATTTTAAAATATCTCATAAAATTACCACATACATGTACAGTGTATATGCATAATTTTCATTTTTCGCAAAGAAAGTGTCCATGTTGAATGGCTGTCAGTGTCAATGTTTATACCAAATGGCTACCGGGAATGAAAATTGAGTGCAAAACTACAAGAAAATGAGGGCAGAATTTTTTTTCCTGGATTGGTCTCTACATTACCAACTTTTTATTTTGTTGAAAGTACGATAAATATTGCAATGTGGCTTCCTCAAAATGAATGCGCACAGGCCCAAGAACAATAATTTCAATTTTATGTAGCCTAAAAATAAAATTCTGGAGGGGAGCCACTGAATTTAGACCTTTACCTTTTTTATTTTCATGAAATGCTCTCTTCCATGGCACATGTATGTAAAAAAAAAAAAAATTTAAGTAGGATTACTTGCATTATTCTCTTAAAATGTTCATTCTCTTCATATTTTTCATGTCCATTTTCAGTTTTCAAATTCGAGAGCATTCAGACAGATTTTATGTGGAACAGGAAGGCAATCTAGCCCATGTAAAAATTCAAGCAGGTTTGGATGGTCAAACACTGGACAGAGAAACAAAAGACCAGTACAACATCCAGGTCTTGGCTATTGACAAAGGTAAGTAACTTTGATGCTGGAAGTTTGTTCAGTTCTAGAATAGAGGCATTTTCAGCTTAAATTAACAAGCATTATTACTGAAAAATATTTTTTCAGGCAGTCCACCAAAGACAGGTTCTGCCACTTTAAGGATAAAGGTCACAGATATTAATGATAATCCTCCAACCTTTGCTGAGAACTACCGACCCATTGTGATGGAGGAGACTGATCCCATTGTAACAGTGGGAACTTTCAGTGCTATGGACCCAGACACTCTTAATTATGGTCCTCCATTTGTTTTTGAGCTTCCACCATGTGAAGAGAACCCTACTTGTCATAATGGGGATCAGAACTTTTCTCTCATTTATGATCCAAGTAAGCTTGAGTTGTCAGTCTTGTAAAATCATCACTTTTCAAGGTTTTTTTTAGTATTCAGTGTCAGACTAGCTTCTACATGTAATTGTTTTTCATTTCAAGGTACCATTAAAATTTTGCACGTGTTATACCTCTTTAGAATTTTGGATGTTGCATTAGTCATCATACAGCCTAAGTTACTTGGAACTTCATCAGATAGTCTAAGTAACTGAAACTTGTTGTTTTGTGGCTGGATAAATTTTAAAATTTGTTCTTGTTTCAGATGGTGCAAAGGGAAATGGAACTTGTACAGTATTTGCAAACAAAAGATTCCTTCGAGAGCAAAAGAAGTTTTACCACCTGCCCATCATCATGAAGGACATGGGTGGGAGGGGCAAGCATATGAGTGGCACCAGTACACTCACTATTGAGATTGGAGATAAAAATAATAATCAGCATGTGGATGGGTTCAAGGAAATCTTTGTGTACAACTACAGAGGTAAAATAGAGTAAAAATTTCCTTACACAACATGTAGTCTCATCAGAAAGTTGAAATAGAATTAGAAAGTATAGTATGTGTTCTATAATTTGACTTTTCAGTAGGGAAAGTTTAATACAATGTACCAAGTTACTTTTAATTTTAACATTTTTTCCTTCAGGTATGTTTGGAGATGTTGAAATTGGGCGAGCTAATGCGAACGACCCTGATGACTGGGATTATGTAGATAAACACTACACCATGATCAGTCGAAATGGGATGGAAAAATTCTTCAAGTAAGACAATGATTTATTCCATATAATTGTATGGCTACCAGTTGCTGTCTTTTTCAAATTGACTTTGAGAAATCACTGTATACATGTAGTTCCATGATTGATTCCTAAGTTGCTTCACAGAATCTCAATAAAAAGTGGTATCTTTTTCAGTGTCAGTAAAATAAATGGGACCATTACAATGAAGAGAGGAGTTCCTGCTGGTATATTTGAATTCAAAGTGGAAGTTCATGATTTTAAAGTGTTTACGAAGATAAATGCTACAGCCACTATTAAGGTCGTTATCAAGGAGATATCGGAGGAGGCAGTATATAAGTCAGGATCTGTCAGACTAGCAGGTAAGGATGAATGGACTTTGTTATTAGGAAGAGTTGGTGTAGTTTTACTAGTTTACTTCTCTGGTAATTTCTCAAAAAAGTGCAAGTAAATGTGATATATGTCATATTTCTTTATCTTGTTTGTATAATGTAGGAGTATGTTATTGATCAGGACCAATAAAACGTGTATTCTGACTCAGAGTTCATGTATATATTTTATGTGCAATATCCTTTCCTGTAGACTTCCTTAGCTAAAATTATGATAAGAAAATATTAAAATTCATGATTTTTTTCATATTTCAAATCCAGTTTGCTTTTCATTCTTCAGGAATTACAGCTGAGGAGTTTGTTGAAATACCTAATGACATGTCAGGCCAGAGTCATTATGATAAATTCCGCAAACTTCTGGCTGAGAAGTTGAGGGTGGCCATTTCCTATGTTGAGATCTTTAGTGTGATGAAGAATGGTCCATATGTTGATGTTAGATATGCAGCACATGGGTCTCCATGGTATCCAGCCAACAAACTGGATGGCATCATAGCCACAAATAAAGATCAGGTAGTTCATACAGCTAGAATTTGATAAGCTTACATATATTGAATTCAGTTTTAGAAGAAGGGTAATTAATGGAGTGGTCCATTTGGCCATCTTGAAAGTTGAATATGCTGAATACTTGTACACTTTGAAAAAGCTTTTGCTGTTCAATAATGCATAAACACATGCTTTCAACATATGCAAAAAAAAAAAAAAGGAATAAAAATGAAAAGAAAATGTTTTGTATGCTTAAGTTAATGATTTATTGTGTGACACAGTTTGCTGCTGCAGCTGGAGGCCAAATTGTTATGGTCAACATTGATGAATGCCAGAAGGAGATCTGTGAAAGTGGGGGATGCTCCAATGTTCTAGTGGTGGATGAGAGGAAACCTAGTGTGGTTAACACTAAGACCCAGTCATTTGTGGGGCTGGGGACCAAGGTAGTAGCAGAGTGTCAATGTAAAGCCAGGGACTTCTCAAGGCCTCTGAAGTGCACTCCAGACTTCTGCTTTAATGGAGGGACCTGTGTTGAGGACAACTGGGGGGATGTAAAGTATGTTAAATTAAATTTCATTTGGATGTAAAGTGCAGTCTGTCTGTACTAAATTTTTGGTCATCAGAATCACTCAGATGAGCTGTTTCTATCTGCTTCCATATGTTTTTGTGTGGTGTCCATTATTTGGCGTTCCATAACTGTTGAAGAGAGCAATAATGTATCTTTTTGTTAAAAATACATGTAAAAAAAGAAAAAGTTTTACAGACTTCTTTGACTTCCTATTTGTAATAAATATGTGGCTGTTGATATGACTCGTATGTTTTAAATAGGTGTGAATGTCTCCCAATGTTTGATGGATTCCGTTGTCAGCAGACAACACACAGTTTCTCTGGAGGATACACACTGTACCCTCCCCTGGCTCAGTGTGAGGAAAGCATCACCAGTATAGAATTTGCCACTCTGAAGGAAAGTGGACTCATCTTCTACAATGGCCCAGTAGACAAGATGAGAAAGGGAGACCCCCAGGATTTCATTGCATTATCACTGATTCAGGGTTATCTTGAATTGATTGTCAATCATGGCACAGGAGCTGTCAGTTTGAGAGTGATGGGTAAAGACAGAGGGGGAATTACCAGAATGCCAGTCTTGAATGATGGTGCATGGCATCACCTCAACATCATCCGGAAAGGAAGGGTCAGTTGTTTGCTTATACTAACAGTTATTTTAATAGTATTTGTATTGTAACGTGATAAAATTGAGGATAGTCAAAATGACATATATCTTATAGTTTTACATATACTGTAATGATGTTAAAGAGTTCATATATTCCCTCCTGTCAGGCAGTCTTTAAAAAAATGTCTGTTGGCCCCCTTCTGACTGACTGACTTAAAATTGCCTTACTCAAAACTTCCAGGAAATAACATTTTTTTTAAAGACTGCCTCGTGTAATGATTTGTAAAATGTACATGTGCTCGTAGGAAGTTACCCTGACAGTGGACCACTGTAGAAATGCTCAGTTTGATACCCATAGTGAAAGCAGAGAAGACCGACGACCTTGTGAGGTCACGGGGTCAACATCAGGTCAAAATAAGTACCTAAATGTCAACCATATGCTTCAGATGGGAGGACGGTATACCACACCTGATTTTCCTCAGGGAATCACTCAAGAAAGATTTGAGGGTTGCATCAGAAATTTGTATCACAATGGAGAGGTATGGAAAAATGACAGATAACTTGCAAGTCAAGTTCCATTTTTTCCAGCTTGCATTTGAAGTGAATTGCAGGTTATGTCACAAACACAAAAAAATTTTAATTGTAATTTTGCATTAGGATTGAAGAACTAACTTGAAAGTACATTTATAATAGTCTTGTCTCAAGAGATTAAAGGAATTGGATGAAAACTTCTGTATGAAATGATTTTTTTTTCAGCTGTATGACTTGTATACCAGTTTAAATCACCCTGGAGAGAATCATGGGAATGGCTGTCCTGCAGAGGAATCAGCCTGTAGCAGCCTGAGCGGTAAGAGATGTGGTGACCACGGAACCTGTCAGATGATAACCCTTGGGGACTCTGAGGTGGAGTGTGTCTGTAAACCAGGGTATCGTCCATCAAAGTCCAATTCTCCCAAATGTACTCGAGGTTTGTATTCAAATTAGATTCTTGTACAGAAAATTGTGAAACATGAAAAACTGTACCTTGTTCTCTGCAAAATCAAAAATGAAAAATGAAAATAAAATTGCAGAGAAAACGAATTCAATACAAATTTAAGCTCTGGAGGACCTAGTTTTTACATGGACTAGTACTTGTGAAAATCATCAATTGTGATAGTTATTGGCACTTTTGAAATGTAAATTTATTGTGTAAAAATCATTTTTTTTAATTTCTTGATATTTTATCTGTGCAAACTTAAATTGCCTTGAACTTTCAGAGACGACAATCAGAAACTATACAGAGAAAGCATACATGACATGGAGTCTGAAAGATAACTTCTTCAATATGCTAAGAAAGGATAAGTTAGACATCCACATTAAATTCCGGACCCGGGATCTTGATGGAGGAGTACTTCTTCATTTGCCATCAAACTCACATGAATACATATCAGTGCAGGTGTGTAATCTTATTTCTAATGCATTATAATTTTCTTATTTTATAAATATCGACAATTAGTTTTTTTTAGTACTAGTCTTCTCAGTTTGAGAAGGTATCCCATGACGAATATTTCTCATATCTTAAGTACAAAATGTATATTTCATTTAATTTAGATCATCAATGGCCATGTTGCTGTCATATACAATTTGAAGGATTATGATAATTCTTTTTCGGAAAATATAATTTCCCTCTCTGAGGCCCCAGCAGCTAATGGCCAATGGCACAGTCTTTCTGTGAAAAGGATTGGGAGATGGTTTCAGCTGAAGATGGACAGTGGAGAAGGGAGGTACTACAATGAAACATGGGGATCAATACAGGATAGTCAATTCTTTGACCTCAAGAGGGATCACATAGTTTCAGGGTCAATGGTGAAGTTTTACCCTATTGCAGATTTCCATAGCAAAGATCTTAGAGAGAGTAAGTTGCATACAATTAAGTAAAATTTATTTCCCTAAATTTTTTGTTTAATTTTCAAAAATATATATGTATTTCAAATGAAGTTGGAGAAGTATAGGTTCCATAACTTATGCGAGTTAGTTAACAGGTTTTCTCCACCTTGAGTTCATAGTCAATAGGCAAGAGGATTGATGAGTATCTATTGACAATTAAAAAGTTACGGAATTACAGTTTGAGAAAAATAGTAACTAATGAGCACACATGAAATCTTTTTCACCCTCTACTGAAATTCTTCAGAAATGCTACTGAACATTATCTGCATGTAACACATACATTACATAGCACAACAGATGTTATGTAACGTGTTAGAGAATCCAAAAAAAAAAAAAGAATCACTGCATGGGAGTGAGTGATGCAACATATAGCAGTAATGAGAGAAATAATAATAACCTAGGCTTGTTTAATTATGAAATATTGAATGATTTTTAGAATATATTATTATTTGATTTCAGTTCTGTATTACTATTTCTATGGTATTAACCAATATACAATATAATTAATTAAAAAAGAACAAGTGTACCGTTGCTAATACACATTATGTGGTTTTTTCCAGCTTGTGTTACTGACATCAGGATTAACAATAAGTGGTTCCCAATGATGATTGAGGAGAATAGCCAGAGTGATGCAGCAGAGGTGGAACTAATATCTGGGGTCAACATGGGTTGTGTACGTGATGATTGTGCCCAGGCCCGCTGTCACACCTTAGGACAGACAATCAAACAAGTCTGTGTTCCTCTTTGGGGAACTCATGACTGCAGGTAGGACTCTTGCTGCGAGACCTCTGTTTTTGAAATGGAAATTGCACTTGGAAATTTGATTGTCTTTTGTTTCATATAAAACAACTTGTCTGCTTGCTACCTCTCACTGGTGCATAAATAAATTCAAATTTCAAATATATTTCTTTTTTTTTTTTGAAATCAGATTTGATTTTAATATGATAGCAATATCTTTTAAGGTGCCCTCCTGGCAGTGAGCCTGGGGTAGGTAGCACATGTCTGGCAATGGATCATTGTCAAGGAATTAATCCTTGTAAAGCAGGAGGTACTTGTATTAACCTGCCTTTCCCTGGGACTTTCCGTTGTCTCTGCCCTAAAGGTTGGATTGGCCCCACATGTAACCAGCAAGCTAGTGCCGTGGAGGAGGTGGTATCAGCAGGGGGCATCAAGATGGAAGTCCTCGTCATCATCATCGTTAGTCTGATAGCTGTCACTTGTAAGTGTTTGATCTTTTTTAGAGGTGCATGTATAATTTATTCATTTCATTAAATGAGAAAAAAAGATTATTTATTTAAAAAAAATGTTTGGTTACTGTTTGAAGAACTGGTAAATTGAGAAAGTATTTGCAGCAAAAACACATATGGAAAAGGCCTGAAAGTCATATTTATGTATTACATGCACAGTAGTGGCTATTGAGTCGCTGAGTACAGAATAATCTCTCCCTTTTCAAAATTAACTTTCATATAATAATTTTGCCAGTAATTGCATTCCTGGTGTTTCTACTGTGGCGGTCACTCAGTAAGCGAGACAAGCGCAAGTCTATCCTTTATGATGACCAGTATGATGACATCAGGGAGAATGTGGTCAACCATGATGAAGAAGGGGCAGGTTAGTGGAATATGTAATCTTTTCCATAGAAAACCTTTATTCTGTATACTTCAAAATACTTAGATTTTATGTGACTTTATTTTTTATGAGCCAATGATATTGGATTTGGTTGCAATATTTTTTCTTTTATCCTCCTTCAGATTACCTACTTCCTTTTCTCATTCATTGGATTTTTTTGGGCAAAAAAAAGGGTGGCAAAATTTTACTAAAGTTGTAGTTATTTAAAGCAATGTACCAGAGACAGTTTGTTTTTATAAGAATTGCAAGATAGGTTTTTTTCCCCAAAAGTTACAGTGTACCTTTTAGATTCATTTTTCTTAGCTCTGCTGTCATTCATCTGTCTGTAACAATGTTTCAAAATGCTGTTTCTTGTACAATCAATTTTTGTCCAATATCAATAAGACTTGGTACACAAGTACACTATAACCAAGATACATAATTCTTTATATCAGTTTCTGATTTCGATAAAGGGTGTTGCCATGTTACTAAAAATAGAAAATTTGTGAAATTCTTTTACTCCTACAGTTTTGTTCCAATTTCAATAAGACTTGGTACACCAGTAAACTATACGAAGTTACATGACAGGGATTTTTTTAGGGTCTCTCTGGGGCCGAAATTCGGCCCCATTCCCAATGCTGAAAAGTGCATGTTTTTCCCAAAATCATACCTAAAAATTCCCAATATGAAAAAAAGTATTAAGTTGTAAATTATTAAAATAAAATAATGACAAAGAGGTGTTTATGTTCTCTATGTGCGATGTACGAGCCATCCGAGGACTTCCGAGTAGTTATTCGGAATACTACGGATGTTTGCATGCATACTTTTTAAAGTGGGATCAATGTTTAAAAATTAATGTCGGGATCGTTATCTAAAAAATAAACGTGCATCATATCAGTCTCTCCAGTTTGCCTAGAACAGTAATTTTCAGGCTGGGTTGAATCACTCTTATTCTTATAAATTGGTCGAACAATACCGATTAACCACTCATCTGGAACAAACCCACTATCAAATGTTATTTTAAAGAACTTCTTACATAAAGATAAAAGAGATGACATCGTATAAATATGTTCATTTACAATGTCATCATACCCTGCAGCTTTGCCATTTTTAAGCTTCTGAACTTCAACAGCCGCTATTATTTCATATCACTAAAGCTGGTGTAAGCCAGCTTCATACTATAAAAAAATAAGAAAAATTATTAAATATTTGACTTTTGCTTTTTTTTTCCTATTTATTTGTATGAAAATATTTTTCCCAATTTCAACCAAATATCGCTATTTTTCCCAATCTTGATAGCCCCGGCCCCTGGAATCAAAGGGTAAAAAAATCCCTGCATGATTCAGTTTCATTGGTTTTTAATATTGACTAACGATATTGCCATTGTTACTAAAAATACTATGGATGTAGAAATCTCTGTGAAATCCTTTCAAAATGCTACACCACCTACAGTTTTGGTTCAATTTTCAAGAAGACTTGGTGCACAAGTATACTACCCAGTATATTAAGATACATATTTCGTGTATCAGTTTTTGATTTTGACAAAGATGCTGCCAATGTTTTGTAAAAACTGAAATTTCTGTGAAATTCATTCAAAATTCTCCTCCTGCTACAGTTTCAGTCCGATTTAAATAAGACTTGGTACACAAGTAGACTATACTAAGATTCACCAAGTACACACCAGTAGAGCTGCATTCTCTTCAGAGACTTCTGGTTTTAAATTTACAGGTGAAGAAGATCAAACCTGTTATGACATCACAAGGCTAAGGAAACCTGATTCTAGTTTTGATAGAGGATATTACTATTCAACATTATCAGCAAAATATAGAAAAGGCAAGTTTCAAAACACTTGGGTGTAACAATAATACAGAAAGAAATCTTAAGCAAAATAATGAATTTTAATCACGTTGTATCTTCTACATGTTCTATAAGTAAGAATATGTGAAAAACTTTAAAAACATTGAATTTCATTACATTATAAACTATGCTTTAATTTGTAGGTGTACCATTAGATAGTCCAGAGGTTGCTGCTTTTATTTCCGACCGTGTCCAGGATGTGAATGAAGACCCTGCTGGACCTCCCCATGATAATGTGATGGTGTTCTCATATGAAGGAGGAAGCAGCACTGCAGGCTCTCTGAGCTCACTCAACACAAACAGTAGTGATAACGATCAAGACTATGATTACCTGAATGATTGGGGACCAAAGTTCTCTAGTCTTGCTGTCATGTACAAAGGGGATGAAGTTGAATGAGAGTAATTAATAGGGATTTTAATGAATATTTTTGTAATTTCTCTTGTGTACCAAAGATTCATGTTCCATGTGTGCACTAGTCAAGAGACATGACTGTCTGATTTCATATACATTTGTCCAAATATCCAGTTTTACAGTTTGAGAGATTTTTTTTGGTCATTGTTTATAATGTAGTGATGAAAACTTGCAGATGCAAAATTTGCTCTAACAATATGGATATGCAATATGATTTTAAAAAATGTCGATTGTTTTTGTCTGAGAAGTCTTGAAATTGGTACTGTGAAGGTGGTTATGCAGTCAAAGTTATAGTCTTGCTCATTGCATTAAGCACAGTTGATCAGCATTAAAGTTTTTATAGTCTATTTTCACACTAGTCTGTTGAAGGTTGTGAGATCTGCTCCCTCATATTTAGAATATCAAAAAACGTTTACATCACTACGCAAATAATTAATCTCATACAGTGTATCATTGTTTGTTTTTTTTCCCACCAAACAACTGTGCCAAAATCATAGTAGCTGATTTTGAAGAAAACCTCTCATATATATGAAACTTTGCTTCTATTTGAGGGATCAGTGAATATTTAGAATTTTGTGATTAGATGCACATTGATGAAATAATAATGTAGGTTTAAGGCAAATCAGGTTAAATTATTTGAAAACATTCCAGTATATGTCCAAATGTTTAAGATACTGTAGTGTTAATTTATTTTTTGTTTCAATGTCAAGAGCTACATGTATTTGTTGTCAGTTTGCACATTGTCAAGTCATTCACAACTCTTGACTATGTTAAAAAGATAAGTCAGTTTTGGGATCTGTGAGCATTTTGCATACTTGTCCATTCTAAGTCTTGAATACAACATGTGTACACAAAACACAAACTTCCTGTATTTAGGGCATTGTCTTGGACTGATTACCAATATAAATGATAATCTTATAAGAACTTTAGTTTTCTGTCACCAAAGCATCATTATAACCAAATACCACCCAGCAATGTTTGAAAAAAAAGAAACACTGCTGGTCAAGAGTGTAATTTTTAATATGTAATGACATATCAAGTGAAGATGAATTTGATTGTCATGTATAACAGTTGTCCTGTGTAAGGACATTTAAAATACTTGATAGTACTAAAGTGATTGCTAAAATATATAAAATGTGTTTGCTGTATTTTTAGTGCAAAGAATGTTGTCATTGCTATTTTAAATGAATGTTCAGTATTAAAACTTGGTCAATGTCAAGTTAGTTTTATCTGCATGTATTTATACATGTACATGTCTATTTGAAGCCATTTTTCCATGTAAAAGTTGTGTCATTTTAGAAATTTTGAATCCATATCCTTTCAATTTGAATGATGTTTCTGTGGTGTCAGTGTTGTATGCATGTTAATATGACAATGTGTGAAGAAAAAATATAATGATTAATAGATGTTATCTTCATGTGAGGTCTTACTGTAACACTCATGTACATATTTACATGTGAACAAAATGTTTCTGTATTATTTGCGTGTAAAACTGCATTTGCCTGAGCATTTCACTTCAGCAAGAGTATTTCACTTCAGCAAGGTGCTTTAAATATATGTAGGTGCAATTTTCTATATGCCAGTTTTCTTTGCCAGTTGTGTAATAAGTATGTGTTGAGTCAAAAATGGTTGTGAGTTGGATATTTTTGAAATTTTGCTTTAATAGTTTACATATGTTTTTTCCCCCTGATTTTCATTTTAGTTTTAGTTTCTTATTTTTGCATGACAGGTTTTTTTTCTGTCCCTCTCTATTGTTATCATTGTTATTTGATCTTTGAATAACTTGCAAATGTCCCTCTATACACTGAAGGAAAAGGGTTTTTTTGACATTGAAAAAATTATAATGTGTAAAGGTGTAAATATTGAGCTTATCTCTTACATTTTCAGCATAGGGTACCTGGCATTTACCACCAGGAAAAACTGTTGTTTACTTAGGTGGGCAAAATAATATAATTGCAAATGAAGTGTTAAATCTATTCACCTTGACTTGTTTTTTTAAAAAAAATGTTATGAATGCTTGAGTTGATTACAAATTAAGTACATGTATAATACACTGTATATTTCAACATATCTTATTCTAGGTCAAAGGGCAGATTACTCTATTTGCATAAAAATACCACAAAATCGGAATTCTTTGTGAAGTGTATAGAGGGCTCTTAATCAAACAAAAAACAAATTAAACAAAACAAAACTGTATTTCTTTTTACATTGACGAGCAGGGTACTATGAGATTAAAAAGTGAATGTAATAACGGTTGTCATATGATTTTTTTTTACTTATTTTTGGGGGCACTGTTGTTATTTTTGTGCAATAGTTTCCTTGTCTCTTTATTTTATTGTTACACTTCTTTTTAGTTGTAATGGCCTTACAGCTTTAGTAGTTTAATTACGTATTCAGATTATAGTGTTGTGAAAAATTAGTTTTTACCATGTTTATCACCATCTTTAATATTTTTTAATGAAGATCTAATTAAAAGAAATGAAAAAATCTATTTATTTAGAGTTTTCTATGGCAGTTTTGATGTTTAGCCTTAGATGTACTTTATGTAGTATATTAGTTGAAATGCCGTGCTCCGCCCAGTAAGCACCCAGGGCACTTTGAATTGGAAAAAAAGGACTGATAAAAAAATATTTTTCTTATTGATAAGTTTAATAATGTAATGTGTTATTTATTGGTACTTCTGAACATCATGCATTGGAAAGTTTTGCAAGCAAGCTTTAGTTGCAGCTGAAGTCAAATAAGAAATGAGAATCAATGATGCATTGAAAATTAATGGCCAAAATCTGAGAGTTGATTAATCCAATCATTTAAACAAAATGATTATCATCCCAAGGTCATGTAACACGATATGTACAGTGCAACATGTATGTAGTTTTTAAAAAAGAACAGTTTCTGCCATCAAAGAGTATCGTGTTTGACATTTTAGTTACATGTTAATTTTCAACCAAAACGAACAAACTGAACTAGGTAAACGGCTAAGCACTGGTTGAACATGTATGCTCTTGATTTCAATCACTGCAACTAGGAAGCAAGTGAGCTTGTGCCTTGCGACAGCTAGGTGTTTGGAAAGTGGGCGCAGTGGCGCTTGTCATCATGCTTATTTGCCAAGGCATACACAGTATTTTTTCAACAATAACAAAAAAATAATACCTTTACAAATAAATACAAATCTCTATTGTGAAAGAACGCATTTATAATTAAAATTGATTTTTTTATTCAAATATAGTTTGTTTTGTGCTATTTTAACAATGCATATTCTGAGACTCAATCCAACATTCCAGGGGCTTTTCCCTAGGGGGAGAGAGGGGGGGGGGGGGCTTCCCTAGCTATTTGAAATTTTTGCCCAGCTACGCCAGCTTATTATTTTCAGAATGGAAGTCACGAAATGGGGCTCTTGTGGGAGCAAGGATGCTAACTGGGAAAAATACAGTAAGCTTCCTTTGTCTTCCCTGGTATCAATCCAGTTGTAAGTCTGTCCACAGCCATTTTGAAATGTTTTGCCAAACATTTCATACTTTGATTGGGGAAATATAGAGAAACATTATGATATTTTTAACAAGCATTTCCCAAAACTACATTGTTATTTTTTTTTCATTGATTTAATTTTTAAAGAATCTGGGGGAATAAGACGAGCCATGTGCCCATGCCCATTTTTCGGCTATGCAAGAACATTTATTGGAAAAAATCTCTCAATTGTTCGAATTTACTTTAGCATTTTAATGTTTACAGTAGTTCTCAAAATGATATTTATATTCTAAACAAGCTAAACAGTTGACTTTCATTTACTGTCACAAGTGTCTAACATGGGTAGGGACTTCTATTAATTAATCTGCATATTGAGTGTTAACACTTATTGTGGAGATATTATAAAAATGTTAACATTGTATATAATGATAGTGGTGATCTAGAAGCGCTTGTAGTAAAAATAAATAAAAACGGGAATAAAAGTATTCAAATATCTATTATAATTTTTATCCGGCATTTTAAATAATTTACTGTAAATGAGTTCATTACTACATATATATATATATATTATTTCCAGTGAAAAATATGTTATTCCTATAGACATTTTTTATAAAGTAAAACAAAATTAACCCCCTCCCCCCAAAATAAAAAAATCATGACTCGAACACTTTCCTCAATAAACGTTCCTTTAAAGAGCTCCTCGCTAACCACTATACCACGTACCCATTTAAATAGCATACAGTTCTCTATATTTAGCAAGCATATTTGGACTTGGAATTTTTTAAGACCACGGTGAAAATTTAAGTAAGTTAACTTAATTTTTTATGTAAAGTGGGTCTTCGTACCAAATTTTTGCAAGTGTAAAAAGCAACATCTTTCCATTGATTTTCATTAATCGTTCTCAAAAAAATGGTACGATGACCCACTCTATTTAAAAAATGTAGTTATCCAATTTATGTCAGTTTTTGTGGAAATTGAGCGTGATGCCATTTTTTTGTGTTAATCAGAATCATTTTCGCTGTTACAGTATTCAGGTTTTGTCAAATTTGTATGCAAATGGTAATTAGCATTACATTAATTCAACAAAAAGTGAAATTTTTTAAAAATGAATTTACTGATTTTTTATCGATCGTTATGTAGGCATATGGCTCGGCTTATCCCCCCAGTTTCTTTCTTTTTTTTTGCACGATATCATAGGGGAAAAAATGTAAAGAATTTATAGTGTTTGTACATGTATGTGCATATTTGTCACCAAAGTTTTGTATAAATGTGTCATTCATAGGAGTTCGTCTTAGAATAATTAAAATTCGATTTTACATTTAAGTCACTTTAAAAGTTCTTTTAAGAAAGAAGTTGACACGCATAGGCAAAAAATGCCCTGTTTTAAAAAAAAACAAATCATCCCTATAGACAGTGTTTATTATGACTTGAGATGTTTTTTTTCTCCTTTTTATGCCCCGCCATGAATATGGCCGGGGCATATAATGTTTGTCATGTCCGCCTTCCGTCCTTCTGTCCTTCCGTCTGTCCTTCCGTCACACTTTGCGTTTAGCTCTGTTCAAAGCTCAGTTTCAAAGAAACTATCCAAGATATTTTTATCAAACTTCATATACTGATAGATATTGATGAGAGCTATTCAACTGCATCAACATTTTTTGACCTTGACCTCACTTTTCTTAAATTAGTGTTTAGCTCAGTTTTAAAGATACCATTCAAGAAAGTGTAATCAAACTTCATATGCTAATTCATACTGATGAAACCTTTTCAACTGCATCAACAATTTTTGACCTTGACCTTTCCTTTGACCTTTGTCCTCACTTTTCATAAATTAGTGTCAAACTTTATATGCTGATACATTCTGTAAGCTATTCAACTGCATCAGTATTTTTTCACCTTGACCTTTCCTTTGACCTTGACCTCACTTTTCTCAATTTGTGTTAAAATGTTGCATTACTAATATACCCTCGGCGGGGCATTCATGTCCTATGGACATATTTCTAGTTTTTTAAAATACCGATGTCGATCTTTGCCTGTACGTTACACCAATATGTAAAATTGATGATTGTGTCGTTTAGAACGATTGTTTCGAACAAAAGTTTAGAAGAATTGCAAAAGGAGAAATGTGATTAGGATCTAACTCTTACGTTTAGACCAAATTTACATACATATGTCTAAAATTTTCAAATTTGTATTTTGAACCAAAAAATGTATTATTTGCAACTTTAAATTAAACTCAAAAGTTGGCCAAGGCACCATTTTGTCTGATAAAGCACCGATGTTTGCATGAATTTTGGCCTAGAAGTTCTTCCGAGCAGGGCTGCCCCTAAATAGAATTATGATATTTTGATAGGTTGTGATCTAAAGAATAATTTATTAAGATACTTTTTTAGGGGCACCAGGCCCTATGGACGAAATTTACAAAGAAAATCCTACAAATTATAAGGAATTCTTTTTTCGACAACCTGGTTTATAGTTCTAGTTCTTGTCTGGGTTATTGCGTTGGAAAGTATACACGTATTGCTTGTATTATCTGAGCTTAATAATATTATATTTAGAATTACATGTACTGAGTCAATATTCTAAATTCAGATCTAAAGTTTTGAAACAGTAGAACTAGATATCTGCAATCCCTCGCAATTCATTTGAATAATTTGTATACATTAATGGCATGTTTTCATTATATCCACGGAAATGTGTTGTAAAATAAACACACATCAAGAAAAGAATTAAGACTATAAACATTACCATTATGTACAATAAAAAATAAAGAAAAATATCAAGTAACATTTCGACATAACAAACTCAAAATGCGCCGACAATAGCATGCTATAGGTTCTTCCTATCTCCACATACTGAAATGAAATAATTTATGAGAAACGAATTAGTACATACATGTAGCCTAAAGTCATTGACCGGAACAGAAATCGACAAGCTTTAAAGACTAAAACCAATCCCGATCCTATAGGTCGGCGCCCCATTTATAACGGAGTGTTCCTTTATAGCACCCCCCCCCCCCGTATTATGGGCCTGGAGAATGGTGAAAAAGGATCATGAGCCACTTTCAGAGTTGACTTACCTATTGACCTAGCATTGGTTAAATTATTTGTAGCATCGTTACCCTGTCTAGTTTCCTTATCTATGGTATGAAAAATCGCAGCAAAACAGTATTCAATTTCAATTTATTTATTGATTCACCAAACATGTTGGCATACAACCATGTTACAAACAAATGAAAAAAATACAGGGTGTTTTCAGATTACTAAAACATATACTAAAGTACATACATACATGCAAGTGTACAAATCAGTGAAGTCAACTACGTTTACAACTTGAAGTTATACATAATCATTATGCAAATAGTATAAACAGTATAATATGGACAGAGATGAACTAATTAATGCATTAAATATATATTATTGTGCTCTATTTTTAGAACGCAATTCAAAACATTCATGTAAAAATTCGCATAGTCTTCTAGAATGAACTGCATTGTCAGGATTACAAAGTACTTTACAATGATTTTCCTTCAACATGTTATCATTTAAATTATAGATGTTCAAAGGGTAATACTTTTTTCGCAAATCTTTATATATAGGACAGTCATATATGAAATGTATTTCATTTTCTAAAACATTTTTACAATAGTGACAAAAACGAGATTCTTTTGGGATACAAGGCTTTGAATATCTGCCTATTTCAATTTCTAAAGGGTGTGCAGAAATTCTCAGTTTTGTTAATTTAGAACGTACAGATTTATTAATTGGAAATTTCAAGTAGTCTTGTAATTCATAGTTCTTTCTAATTTGACTGTAAAATAATAATTTACCACATTTGGTGAATTCAATGTTCTGAAGTTGCAAATTAACATTTTTATGTAGAAATTCTTCAAGTAGCTGCTAAATGTGTTATCAGTGATATCTAATGATGGAAGTTTAAGTTTCTTTTTTAATGTATCAATCTGACTCGGCCAATTATCCTTTACATCATTATTATATAGAATGTCATCTTCTAAGAAA